GGAGGGAGAGAGTCCGAACAATCTATCCACAGCCTCCTGTACCTCAGTGGATCTTCAGGCCTGCCAATGCTGCCCATGGAAGACAGCTTGTCTGCAGTAAACACATTTGGGGTGTTCCTTTTTCCAATATGCAAGCAGCTTTTTATTTCCCTACCCAAACCCTTAACTGACACGGGCCTTTAAGAACCTTGATGACAACACTTAATAGCAACAGAACACTCGAGAATCGAGAATCGGATCTCCTCACGCTTTCCCCGTCACTTCTCTCAGACCTGTCTCCCTCCCTTCCTCCCCCCCTCCCTTCCCCCCTCCCTCTCTCCCTCTTCTCTCTCTCACCTTTCTCTTTCTTTCTGCTTCCTAATGGAAAAACCTTTGCCCGAGCCCAGCTGGGACGCCCTTTTGATCAGAGTGAGGAACTGGCTGGCCCTCCCTGTGGCCCCACATTGCCCCCATAAACACCTGCCTGTCACCGTAGGTCTTTATAAAAACAACAAAAACAAAAACCACGTTGAGACGGAATTTTTTTAACTATATTTCACCTTTTTAGGGACATAGAAATTGAAAAAGGGCCATCACTCATTCAAGGTTGTTACCATTTTAATGCTGCCAAATTCTGCCAAAACCCTCAACTTCCTCCCTCCTGATCCCGGCACTTTTTTCCTTGTTTCCAGAGGCATGGGGCGAGCATGGTATCTAGTCCCGCCATTTAAGAGCCACGCTGAGGACGCACTCCATCTGATCACCCCTGGTGTTCTTTTCCAGCCTTACGTTCACACAGGTCTAGTTGCTTTTAAGTAGGTTATTATTTGGGGGAAGTGGACAGAATGGGATTTTTCTCTCAGTGGAGACTGGGAGAGGCTGAATCCCCTCTTCCCCAGCCCCACCTGCTAGCCCCCAGGAATTCTGGAGAAAACAGGCCCTGTCGAGAGCCTGGCAGGCAGGCTTTGAGGAGCGGTCGTCCACGTGCCAGTCTCCTGTTCCCCCAGCTCGCCCCCCGCCCCCGCCCCCGGCCCCCCAGGACACAGATGGGAAGGGGTTTCCAGGGACTCAGCCCAACTGTTTATGCAGGTTTGCAAGGAAAGAAATTCAAACACCACCACAACAGTAAGAAGAAAAGCAGTAAATGGATTCAAGCATCCTAAGCTTTGTTGACATTTTCTCTGTTACTAGGACTTCTTCATGGGTCTTACAGTTCTATGTTAGACCATGAAACATTTGCATACACATCGTCTTTAATGTCACTTTTATAACTTTTTTACGGTTCAGAAATTCACCTATACGTCTGTACAGAAAAAAAAAGCTGCTATTTTTTTTGTCCTTTATCTTTGTGGATTTAATCTATGAAAACCTTCAGGTCTACCCTTCTTCCCTTTCTGCTCGCTCCAAGAAACTTCTTATGCTTTGTACTAGCGTGCGTGACTTTCTTCCTCTCTTCCCAGTAACTGATACTTCTATAACATAATTTGCCATGAACTGTTTGATGCCTTTTTATAAATACACCCTCCCCTCCCCGCTCCCCCTGCCCGTTAGTTACGTTCTAACCCGGAGGCTCTGTGGGCACGAGGCTGGCGAGGGCAGCAGGGGGCCACCCCCGGGGGGCAGGCCCTGGCATGCCGGCACCCCACTCCTCAGCCTGCTCTCACACAGCGCTGGAGTCTGGTACAGTGCAAGACATGATACAAACTCAGGTCAGAAAAAGAGGTTAAATATTTCGCACATCCTTGTTCAGTGTTTATAGTCACCCTTGTTGGAAAGTCTCACCTCCTCTTTCCCTCACCTTTGTTTTGGTTGTGACACACATATATCTATTTTTTTAATTCTTGGGTACAACAGCAGTTTTAACTGCAGAAACTAGGCATTTGGATTACTATTTTTTTTAACGGATATTTAATCCTTCCATCCCATGAGAAACAGCTGCTGAGTCCCAGGGTGCAGCAGAGTGGGGTCCAGTGGGCCCCTCTGTGGCTCCCGCCACCACCCTCCAGACCGACCTACCTGTCTTTAGAACCCGAAAATCCCCAGGCACGTCCTGGTGCTGGCGGGGAGGGGGCCGCAGGGGCAGCCTCTTCGGGGCGGCGGCAAGCCCCCCGCCGGGTCTGCCGGCCTGAGGGCCCCGGTCGGGGCGAGCACGCTGCAGTGGCCGGGGAGCCCCGTACTCGCTCCCAGGGGACCAGAGCCCTGGCGCTGGCTCGCTTTTCCTTGGCCAGGAATCCAAGTCCTCGGGGCCCGGGGGTCTTGTTTTGTTTAGTTTTTAGCACTTCTCACCAGAGTGATGACAGCACACGAGTTGCTTCTGGGATGGAAATGTTTAAATTATGAGTAAGAACAAAGCTCAAAGATGATGATTGCTAGTTGTGACTGGAGATTAAAGACGAGAAAGCAAGTGCGTAGTGCTTTTCTGCTTGTCGGGAGCTTCAGTCCTACGATTTTCTCAAGCCTCTGTCCCATAGTTTTTTCCCTTAAAAAAAAAAAAATGAGAAAAAAGAAAAAAATTAAGGTATTATATGTAGGAGTTTTCTTTTAATTTATTTTGTGATACCAGTTTCAATCACTGTAGAGAAGCCCCATTATGAATTTAAATACTGAGAAAAGGGTTTTGTGTGTGTGTGTGTGTGTCTGTGTGTGTGTGTGTGTGTGTAAGACAGGACAGTTTTTGGGTTTTTTTGCTTTTGTTGGTTTGTTTTGGTTTTGGTTTTCAAACATTTATCTACCTCACTCTTATTTTTTATGTGTGTATATATACACAAGAATACATCTCACATTTCTCAGCACCTGACAACATGCCGTCGATACTGGTAACCTCATCCGTCCCACAGGCCGCACGCGCCAGGCGAGGCAGGGAGAGGCCAGGCTGTGTCCGGGCTCGAAGCAACACTAACACCCCTCTCCACTCACGTCAGACAGCTTGCCTTTTTCTGAGATGTCTCGTTTTGTGTTGCTTTCGTTCCTCTCCTAACTTGGTTTCCTAAGAGGTCCTGAGGTGTTAGCATTTCCTTCCTCCCGGCCCGGGGCGCCCGCACTCTGCTGGGAGGCCGCTCGGCTGCCCCCGGGCTGGCTGGCTTTGAAAGGGACTCCGTGCAGCCTGAAGGACAGGCTCTGTCATTGGAAGAGCACTTGTTTCCTAGGCTGGGAGGTCAGGAAGGACCCGGGGGGGGGGGGGGGGGGGGGGGGCAGGCCGTCAGTCTGTCAGTCTCTGGGTTAGAGTCCCACCTGGAAAGGTGCGATGTTTGGGTGTGAGCCGCTGCTCCGGCCTCCGTGGGCCAGGCCTGCCCGAGGTGGGATTGTGCCGTCGCTGCGCTGGGTCAAGTTCAGTGATGCAGCCACGTCAGCGCTTTTGAGAGCTCGGTCTGCCAGGCCTCCTGCGGGGGAACGCAGAGGTTCCTGACCTGCAGTCCCATTCAGGTTGTATAGAGGAGACAAGTGTCCCCCCCCCCGCCCAGACTGTTTGTCAGCTTCACCCTCATCTCCTCCTCCCCCAGGGGAAAACAGAGACCAAACCTTTGGGCTGGAAAAGGCCGGTGGAGGGCGCCCAGCCTCTTTCCAGGGTGGTGTGTCTCCCACCAGGGCCGCGCCCCCATCCCGCCTTCCCGCTGCTCACAGGGGTGGAGGGCGCATAGCCCGACTCCAGCAGCTGCTCCCCCAGGCCCTGGTGACCCCATCTGGGAAAGGTGCTGGGGGTCTGCCCAAAGTGGGCATGGCTCCTTTCAGTTCCAGCACCGCGGTTAAGCTCAGGAGCGCGCTTCCTCCTGCGAGAACACTACCCTCTTTTCCCAAGGCCCCTGGCACCTTAAGGTCACTGAGAAATACTGTTGGATCAGGGTTTTCTTCTTCCACACTGTAGGTGACCCCTTGGAATAGTGGCCACTCCTCTTTTGCACATACCTACCGGTTTCCACAACTGGATTTCTACAGATCATTCAGCTGGTTATAAGGGTTTTGTTTAAACTGTCCGAGTTGTTGGTGTCCCTTTGTTTTTGTCTTATGTAGGTGGATTTTCTTTAGGTAGAAAGAAAACACTAATAGTGTAGCGCCCATCATAACAAATGCTTCAGAAACACTGAAAGAAAAGAAAATTTTGCTTGTGTGATGGTGCAGTCATTTTACTGGACCAAACCACCCACCTTGACTATCCTAAGGCATCATCTATCCACAGTTCTAGCCTAATTTTGTGCTGATTTTCCCACCTCTTCTTGATTTTTTCTCTTTTGTATGCTCCACATAATCTAATCAAGCTGAGTTGTGGCATTTTCCATGCAACCTCCTCCTGAAAGCAGCTCACACTGCTTGAAGTGACGGGAACCACTGAGGCACATCGTCCATGTGCGCATTAAAACACGAGCACACACGGCCCTTCCCTGAGGCAGCAGGAGCTGGTGCGTTCTGGAGACACTGTCGAACTTCAGCTGTGTGAGCCCCAGAGCACCCCAGCTCTCCTTCATGGGATCTCATGACGTTTGATACACAGTTGGAATGAGCTTCCTCCGCGGAAGACAGAAGACCGTGTTCGTGGCCAGCACTGGCCTCTCTTTCCAGCCTCTTTCTTAGGACTTGGGACAACATTTCGATGGGAGGAAACGTGGCTTGGTAAAATAGAAAAAAGTGCTTATTGTGGAACCACCCGACAGCAAAATGCTTGGCAGGAGGTGACGTGCTTTGGTTGGGATAACAGATTGACGAGCCAAGCACGATGCCAGACTCTAGGCCGGTTTGTTCCACCGAAGCCTCTCTGTCGGCGGCTCACCCCCACGGGCAGGTGGCTGTGCGTGATGCAGGCTGCTGTCATGGCAAGGTCACACGAGCTCAGATCAGTGAGGAGGCTAGGATGCTCGGTCCCAGGTCCGCGGCTGTCACTGCTGGGTCCCCCTATGGTGGCCAGTGTCAAAGGCAACTCCTTTCCAAAACACAGGCACCCTCCAGTTGGCAGTAATGCTCCACAGCACGTCTTGGCCCATTCCAGCAGTCCCACTAATACATGTAAGGTTTGGGGTTTGTTCTTTTGTTACTGTTACTTCTGTGTTTGTCGGCTGTTTTTTTTTTTATTTCCTGGGCTAAGCAGCATTGGGAGATACGGACCAGATCCACCCTGTAAGCACCAGTGATGAAAGTCAACCTTTCTTACTCCCCTCTGCCTAGTCGGTGGTACAAATGAGAATTTCAAGAGAGGATGTTGTCTAGGCTGAACCTCTGTTGCCAGAGATGCTGAAGATACAGACCTTGGACAGGCCAGAGGGTTTCATGCCGGGCCTCCAGCTTAGCTGACTCATTGATCACTTAGAGAAAAAGCAGACTGGACACTCCTTGACGGTGGGATGATGAGACAGTAGGAAACCACTGTAACCGGGTCATGACGGGAGGCCGAGCAAAGACTGGCGAGCAGAAGGGGAACGGGGCTGGGAAGAAGTGTGGGCCATGTTTTGAACCTGATGGTTTCTGAAGGTATCAGACCACATCAAGGCTCAACAGTCATCCGTGGGCATTTGGTTTCGACCAAGAAACCGAACATCCTCCTTTGGACACTGTTGTCACAGAGTTCAGTGAAATCGGTCAAGAACGCGAACTGCACCGCACCCGTCAGTTGTCAGTTCTGGGGCATGACTTTAGGGTTTTGTTTTATTTTGTTTATGCAAGAACATAATGATCACTCATCTGTATGTCCACGTTTGTGTGTGTCCACATCTTTCTGGTAAACATTGTTCTAATTAGTCACTCATTAGCGTTTTCAATAGGGCTGTTAAGTCCAGTAGATTACGGGTAGTCAGTTGACGAAGATCTGGTTTACAAGAACTAATTAAATGTTTCATTGCATTTTTGTAAGAACATAGAATAATTTTATAAAATGTTTGTAGTTTATAATTGCCGAAAATAATTTAAGACACTTTTTTTCTCTGTGTGTGCAAATGTGTGTTTGTGATCCATTTTTTTTAGGACACCTGTTTCCTAGCGAGCTTTACAATATGCCAAAAAAAAAAAAGAAAAAGAAAAAAGAAGAAAAAAAAAGATTTTTCCCTGACCCAGGCCGTGGTTCACCCTCTTTTCCCCCCAATGCTTTGTGCCCTAGTTTATAACAAAGGAAAGATGATTTAAGAAGTAGTTCTGTATCTTCAGTGTCTTGGTCTTCCAGAACCGTCTGGTTGGGAAGGGGCTCATCTTTGGCCATTTCCCTTGGGAGAGTAGCTACTCTAACAGACTGAAGGAACCTCACTGGCCAAGGACACAGCCGCGGTGTGGCAGCCCAGCGGTGCCCATGGTGCTGGGGAGCCTCCGGCGGGCTGGGCTGCTCGTCGCCGCTGTCGTGCGCTGCCTGGACAGGGAAGGCCTTGAGGGCGCAGCTGATGGCTTCACAGTGAGCGCAGCACACAGACTTGTCACACGAACGATGATGATTCTGGCGCACACAGGCCGTTCGCTTACCTGCCTCAGGTCGTGATTCGCGCTTTGTTAGAACAAGGAAGAGACCCTATTTATTTTATTTAAGGCAGAACACCGAAGACACATTTTTCTAGTCCAAAACAAGTCCTTTTAAGTAAACATGACACACACACACAAATGTGTTTCAGTTGGACTCTATTTCCTCTAGCTCCCAATGGATTACTGGCCATGTCTCTACTTCTCCACAGAATCTCCATCGGTAGAAACATCTGGATGTTTTGCACTACATGGGAGAAAGGTCCAGAAACAATTAGGTTTTTTTTGCGTGCAACTGTTCATTCAGACGTGTGGCGTTGCAGACACACCCACGGGTGGAATAGATGCTTGGCAAAGACACCTGTCTGCTTTCTAGCCGGTGAGGTTGAGGTGAGAGGTTTGCCAGAGTATGTCTACCTCTGGGACAAAAAAAAAAAAAAAGAATCAAACCAGAAGGCGCAATGGAATGGATGCATCGCAAATAATGCATTTTCTGAGTTTTCTTGTTTAAAAAAAAAAGTTTTTTAAAAAAGTAAAAAAAAAAAGGTAATAACATGGCCAATTTGTTACATAAAATGACTTTCTGTGTATAAATTATTCCTAAAAATAAATTCCTCTGTTTATATAAAAAAAATCAGTAGATGAAAAAAATTTCAAAATGTTTTTGTATATTCTGTTGTAAGAATTTATTCCTGTTACTGCGATATACTCTGGATTCTTTACATTATGAGAAAAAAGAAAAAGAAACTTTGTCTATTTTGAATGGCTGAAGCTAAGGCAACTTTAGTTTCTCTTACTCTGCTTTTTTCTAGTAGTTAAAGTACTACATGGTTTAAGTTAAATAAAAGAATTCTGTATGCATTTTTGGTCTCTGATTTGGTTCCCCTCCCTTTCTGGAAGAACCACCACGCTTCTGAGGCAGGGAAGCCGGGCCACGTGTGGCATGTGTGCTCACACATGTCGCTCGGAGGTGTTGTGGAAAGGCTTTGCTTTGCTTTCTGACAGCTGAACCTTCCCAGCACGCAAACTGCTGGTGAAGACAGGGCAGCTATTCTGCTTCTCACTCCATTAAATCAGCTCGAAGAAAATTTGAATACATAAGATGCAGAAATCTGTACTTCATCTTTGACTGATCTGTAGACTTTTCCTGTATCTTCCACTGACAAAAGTCAGGCCGGGGCAGGTTTGCTATAGGTGACTCTGGGGCGAAGGGCTCACCCTTCACGTTTCCCCGTCCTTGTCGGCACCTGGCAGCCAGCATACCTACCCGGGATGCGGGGCGGAACCAAGCAAGCGCACCCCGGACGTGGCTCCCGGGAGGTGTTCAGAATGTGACTTTCTAGCTGATGATCTTGGCCTGTCCCGGGGCCTCTACAATCCAGCCATCATTTTATTGCCCAGGGAAATGGCCATAGTAAGAAATGTGAAATGTGAATATATGTTCAAAGGAAACAAGCTGTAAGTGTTCTGGAATCAGACCAGAGATGCACAGACACATCGGGAGGGCAAGCTGACCATTTCACTGAACTTTGATCACAGGAAACTCTACTCCTGGAACAAAGTCAGGCCACCGTATAAAGGGCTGAAGAGCAAGGTGTGGGCGGGGGAAGTAAATCAAAGGCCACAGTTATTTAAGATCTGGTGAGCCTCACAAATACTTGGACCTAAAAACAAAAGGCCTTTCTAAGGGAGAGGACTCTCGCAAGCTCTTGGTGTTGCCCCGGGGTTTGTGCTCACCATCGTCACGCGGTGGCTGGCACTGGACCTCGACTGTCACTGGACGACTGACGACTCCGGGCAGGCTCAAGGCTCATTTCGGAGGCTCAGACGGGCGTGCGGGCAGCCGGTGGGGTGCCGCGCCGCACTGGGCACCTGCCCTCCGCCGGAAGCTACAGCACTTTCTTCTCAGGATGGAGGTGCTGGGTGGTCGCAGAGGCCAGTGCACGCCCCCCCCCCCCCGTGCCACTCCGAGACCACAGAGCCGGCCGGGCTGTGTCCGCCTCTGCCCTCACAGGTGCAGCCAGCAGCCGGGACTCAGGAAGGTGTGGGTTTGCCCCGCACACGCTCATCGCTGACCGACTCGCACATCCGCTCAGCGCGTGTTCACAGCTCTGCAAAGGAAGGGCTTTTGTTATAGAGGAGCAAACACACAGACATGCCCGAGACCCCCCCCCCAACTATTAAGCGACCAACCCAGAGTTCAACCTGTTGACTCCGGCCCCCCGCGTGTCAGCCACAGGGAAACAGGCCCCAGTACGTGTGCACAGGGGACGGCAGGCCGCCTAGACCAGGAGGCGAACACCGCAGGTCACGCAGGGAGAGATGATGGAGACGTTCATCAAGAGGGAGCTCGGGCCTCCTCACGGGATGACATCTAAAAGTTTGTAAAACGGGTATGGCTTGAAATAACCCTGAAGCAGGGTCCTGAGGCCCCCTGCCTACCCCTGGCCTGAGACAGAAGCTCCAGTGGGGGAGGGGGACAGGGCTCTGGGCAGCAGCTGTTTGCCTTCAAATACAGAAGGATCTCTGCGTTAACAACCCTGCAGCCGGACCTAACATGTGGGCCATCCCACCCCACCCCACCTGGCTGGCTCTGATCAGCTCCAATGTGACTCTGATCTGTTTTATGTCAAATAAGCCAGTTTCCTTTGCAAAAGGGGTCCTGTAGAGTCTGTACCAAAGGCTCAAGTATGCTGGAGAGCTATTGATAAACCCAGCAAGGCCTGCCCGTTTCCTCTGTTATTAAGTTGCAAATGCTTTTCCTTCCTAGTGAAAGAATCTGGACGCTAAGTAAACAATGCCCCTATTTTTTTTTTTTT